ATCTTTTTAGAACTTAATGCTACAGTTTCTTTAATTCAAGTTCTCGATATCTTTTTGGAGAACAAAATATATTTTTCACAGCTTACTTTTCTTTATCAATAGTTCTATATTTTCTAAGTTTTCTAGGCTTTATATGCTTCCAAAATTGTAAGCTACGCTCAAGGATTTATGTTACTTGCTGATGCTAGCAGTCGTTTCAAATGGAATTTGAATTTTGGTGCTATAGCACTAATGTGGCGAGGCGGATGCATTATCCGATCTCGTTTTCTTGGTGATATTAAACGAGCATTTGACAAAAATCCGTCTCTAAAAAGCCTTTTCTTTGATGAGTTCTTTAAGAAAGCGATCTGTGGTTGCATCGTAAGTTTTACAATCGCTTGGTATTTTGTGTAGAATATAATGCTTGATTTTTGTAAAATTATTCTTTTCTTTTGGTGGTAGAATTCACTGTGATGAGGAAGTTGTCTGATAATCCTAGTTAACCGACCCTTGACATGTTCTCGTTTATTATTAATTTATCTTGCCAAATGTAAGTTAGTGCAATTGAAGTAAATTTTTTCTTTATCTCTCCTTATTATGTGTGAAGCTAGCGTTGACATTCCAGGAGTCGTGGCGTCGAGTAGTTGCTGCTGCAGTTTTGTTGGACATACCGACTCCTGCACTTAGCTCAGCTCTTGCTTTTTATACTGGGTACACGAGTGAAGTTCTTCCTGCAAATATCATCCAGGTAACTGGCTTTTCACTTGCTTCTTTGAGAAGTAAAGTTTATATTGATAGTTTTGCGAGTTTTTGGTGGTATCCTGTTGTTAGAAGGTTTGCTTAGTTATTATAAAAAATTTGGTAGCTAAAATTGACCTTGGTGATATGATTTGTAAAAGTCCTTTTTGTTTTTTGAGAGCTAACATGTACAACTAATTAAAAAAGTTTAGGTCATGTTATCAAAAATACAGAAAAGTAGTTGAACGACTGTTTCAGGCCCAACGTGATTACTTTGGAGCGCACACTTATGAGCTTGTTTCTGATCCTGGCAAGTTTCATCACACCAACTGGACAGGAACGGGTGGTCGAGTAACCTCAAACGCCTACCAAGCATAGATCTTCAGTCATGAAAATGAAAGCATTTATTTAACATGTCTTGCTTCTGAATAACTTTCACTTCAATTTTTGCCTAGTTGTTAACCTATCTCTTACTTTATTATAGTGATGTCTGAGTTACTTCAAAGCAACGAAGAAATCCTTGCCTTTTTTGAGGCATTAGTACTTTCTAATTGAGGTTTTATTATGTGTTGAATAGGTCCTTAGATATGCGTGATGTTTGTAGTTGGATGAGTTGAAGTTTGCTTTTTTGTCTCTACTAAGCTGTTTGACCTTAGCAGTTGTTAGTTTTGTCTGAGTAATGATAATATAATTTTTTGGTTGGTATGTGTAACTCTTTTTTTGGTAGCCGAGTAAGTTGTTTATTCTATATTTATGCAGTTGATCAGTTGTACCTCTAAATTCGTCAGTCGTTACAGTGAAGTTCAGAAAAAATAAATTTATAAGGGAAAGAAAGGAAAAAAGTAATGTTGGACAAATATAATTCAATGGATAGATAAGCCTCCTGCTCGGTGATATCCGCCAAGCAGTCTGACTAAGAAACAACTACTTTTCTATTTTCGCTTTGGGGTTCTTCTTCACATGTAACAGGGTTGCTCTCATACGTCGGGGATAGTTAAATGGAAAGTTAGGATTTGAGGAATATAGATTTTGCCGAGGTGGGTGTAATGCAGGTCCTCTGGTTACTCTCCGATTAGTTTCTTCAAATAGGTCAGTGTAATCGTTACTTGGTATGAATTTGATAGTGAAAGCAATTTTTGAGTGCCGTGCATTACGGTAAGTGAATTTTGGAGTGTTACTTAGACGTTCGATGCTAATTTAAAAGAAGTTTTGTAAGGGTAAAAAAGAGAGGTTTTTGGTGGATAACTGTTTTCTTAGCAGGAGTTTCAAAGAATCTTTGCTTTT